TGTACACACGCTTTCTTTAAGGAAAAAAAGATGTTTTGGCTCTGAAGTGACGACCCCGCGGGTTTATTTTACACCGCAAAGAACACCAAAACAATTTTTAATTGAAAAATAAATTAAAAGCGCCGCTATTGTCTTTCAAAGGACGTTCTAATGATGAAAAATGTAAATTCACATTTTCATTAACATAAATTGCATTTTGTCTACTGCTGACTTACGGAAGAAAAGGAAACGGATGGTGAATTAATTAGATTGTACATGTCTTTCAAGTGTTAATAAGAGTGGCTTTATAATGAACAACAAGCATTACGCTCGGGCATCAGCAGTTTAGAAAGTGCCACTTTAACAGTACAATGCCATCCCCTACCACACCCATGATAAGAGAACAAAAATCAATCATTCGTATTGAAAGGAAAACTTCTTTCAGAGGATGGAGACTACTTTACCAGTAATATTCGGAGTAATATATTTCTTGGAAGGACTTTTGACCCTTCTGGGTAATATTTTCACCATCTTTGTTTTATTCTGTTCTATTTAACAACGAAAAGCCAGTCCAAGAGACATGCAGCTGAGTAGTTAGAACATCAGTACCATCCTGTAGATAGACTGAGGAGGACGTGTGTGACAAACACTACTGTGAAACTAATGTATTCGAAAAAGAGAGAACCTTTGAAAATTGTAATTACAAGTGCATAATACGCTTGCTTTTAATAAACTAAAGTTCTCTTGTAAGTATTTACAGTTACAGACGTAATGATACTCAGCCTCACAAACAAAGCCCCTTTTGTGCAAGATCCCACCTGGTGTTAAGATAGTTTCTTCGACCCTAAATGATGTAGGCACCAAAAAGGTCGTAATTCATATATCTTAGGTAGATGTTGATTTCAACTTGAATTTTTTTTTCTCTTTGTACTTTAGCCGGGTTTAAATCAGGCTTAGTTGGTAGGGTTAGACAGCAGTTTCTTCTTCAACTGAGCCTTTAAAATGTTATTGAAACATGCCATGAGTTTTTAGTAATGGTAAGCGGTTTCAAAGTAAGGTTTTCGTTGCATAAAGCGAACGGGAGTTTCCTCCTTGAGGGATGTCAATTTATAAAAAGCCACTCCACTCCAAATTTTTCTTCAAGTTTCCCAAAGCATTGAACTCGTACTCATTTATATTTCTGGCTGGATAGATGCACTGCAAAATGTGAGAGTCGTATTGGTTAGGAATAGTACTCGCCTCCCACCACTGTGGCCCGGGTTCGATTCCTTGGTTGTTGGTTCTCGTCCTTGCTCCGAGGGTTTTCTCCGGGTCCTCCAGTTTTCCTCCCTCCGCAAAAACCAACATTCCAAATTCCAATTCGATCAAGACAAGACAAGACAACTTTATTTAGCGAGGGTGGCCCAGTCAGCTGCGAGGCTGGTATCCTTAGGGGCCCTGGTTAACAGTGGACAAGAAGAGCCACCCAGTAGAATGTCTATTGCTAAATTATTTATTATTTATTATATTAGAACGCACTGAACCTTCAGGGCTTGAACCCGGGATTTTTGACCAGGGTGTTCACCTTGCGAACAATTTGGCCACTGAGTCTGCATGATCCCACAATAAATTTGAATCAGAAGTCACCAATCGCCGAAAAAGAAAAACGACACTCTTTGTAGCTTTCATTAAACTTGTAGGTCCAAAAGAAAACTTCAAATCAGTGGCGGAAGCTCCGCCATGATTTATGTACTCTACGAATGTTATCCTGAATTTTCTAACTAGTTTGTATAATCCGAGTTAGTTTTCTCCATCCTTAGCTAAGCAAGGTCCTGTTCTCCCCAATGTAATCGATTGGGTGAAAGAAGTAGGTAGAACTGTCACTTAAACGGCCGGAGGCTCATCTCAAACTAAATCTACCGCACCATTATTACTAAATGGATATCTGATAAGTAAAATTCAGCTTAGTGAAGTCGTCTGCCATCAAATCTGAGCCTACATCTAGAAACCAAGAAGTCATAGCTTAGTATCATAGTAACGTGAATATATCAGTGATGTCCATATTTCTTTGTTGAGCAGGAACTCTGACTCTTCCTCGATTAGTTGTTCGTTGTGTGGAAACTCCGACACTTTCTTGAGTAGGAATCATGTTCTCGTCAAATTCCTTCGGAGGAAAAATCTTGGAACAGCATTTTTGAAGCTTTAATTTGAACATAGGTAACCGAAAGGCATAAAGTATCAGATTTACCGCGGAGTTCGCGTATAGCAAACCCTTTACAGTGAGTAAAGCAAGGTATGAGAAGTCACTTAATACACCAGCAATTGAAGGCATGTTAAGAGCAGTAAACAGAAACAACAGTTACAACTAACAACGTCTTAGTTAATTTCTTGTTT